AAGATCCGATAGATCTTCATAAAGGAGATACCTTTAAACATCCATACATACATTCGCCTTTATAATATTAGTAAGATGTATGACTATAAAAGCTTAATCTTACTAATATTATAAAGGCGAATGATTAGATAAAGGTTTAAAGGTATATCAAGAACGGCTGAACAGATCTCCATGAAATTTGGTACACATATAGAACATAGTCTAGAAGAACACATAAGTAACCAATTTTTTTTATTCCGCGCGGATGGAGTCGCGGGCGACAGCTACTTCAGTCATATTTTACAAGTGCTCCAAGATAACATAATAAGAATCATGTTTATCTGTCAAAATGGTATCAACTTTATAAACCTGATGTCTGCGATTGAGGTGAGTGTCAATGACATACAATATTCATATAATAACGGCACTTATTTCGCTTGATAATCAAATTTTTTAATGTAACTTTGAGAACTTGTATAATATCGATATTTGACAAACATAAAAAAATAAATCTTTAGAATATAATACTTGATTAATTCTATTCAATACAAGGCTAAGTTATTGGTACAATGTTTTCAATATATTAATGAAAACAACTATGTAACATAAAAAATAAGTTTTTTTATCGAAAGTTCGTTTTTATGATTTGAACAATCAACTCAACCAACATGTTAAGAAGCTCTCGCTAAACAGATGAAATAAGGGCCCGATACAAAAGGCAGTTATCCTAGAAACCACACGCATCGTGAGAAGGTTCCTGTCTCTGCAATCCTGACCGCTCGTTGCTTGAGTGGGATTCCGCAGCCGGTGGCGAACAATATTTTATACATAACTAAATAAATTAAAAATATTAAATATGATAATAAAAATAGAATCAGATTAGAAAAAAAATTATACAATACTGTATTATAATTTTTTTTTAAGTTAAAAATTCAAGTAAGTCCGTAGTATAGTACTAGAACAGTTATAATCAAAGTTTGAGAACCGTTTGCATTCCTTATCGCCGAGCGGACATTAAAAAAGGTATTCACTCCGTCGACTTACAAAATATCATTATTATTACTTGAGAATGGTCAGCAAAAAAATAAACAACTATCAATTAAAATCGACATGACTCAATATTTTACAAAACATTTCCTTAATACGTTCATCGTCATCAACTCACTATACGTCCCCACTGAGGGGCTCGGAGCCTACCCTAAGTTAAGGGTGATTAGGCCATTGTCAACCTCGCTGGTGTGTGTGCACCAAGTGCAGTGACTTCACACATATCTTTGAATTTCTTCTCAGATATGTGCAGCATCACAATGTTTTCCTTCACCGTAATTTAGATAAATTTACATATGTAAATCGGAAATTGAAAAACACATTGGTACATGGCGGGATTCGAACCCAGGACCTGCAGATTGCAAGTCAAGTGCTTGACCCCTGAACCACTGACGCTCTAAAATTAATTATTTAGAGTAAAATCGTGTTTAATTTTGACATAAACAAAATATGCCCAGGATTAAAATTAACCCGTATTCTTTAACAAACTCAGAACAAATAAGTTCCTGATAACAGACAGAAAACAAAAACTAAATTATCTTTTTCGCAAAAATTAATCCCTTCTCGTCTGCAATTACTTACGGTCGCCCGCGGATGTCTGCGCGAATTAAAAAACGTAATTAGTAGCCTATGTATTCTTCCAGACTATGTTCTATATGTATGCAAAATTTATCGAGATCCGTTCAGCCGTTCTGGAGATCGACACAGTGCCGGTGTATTGCAACACTAGCCTTACCAAAATATCGACATTTATGTCCCCTCACTATTCATTCTGACACTTGACTTTGTAACGAAAGCGATTCGCGCCAAAGGATTCTAACTAATAATGTCTTAAAGTCATCAGTTAAAGGTAACACATGTTCCCTTCTGAATGAAATATTAAATACATAATATAAACCAAAGGGCTACAAACTTCACCTGCTGTCGGTACAACGGCCGGGCACACTATCAGTTATTTACACACAGAATGAACCCGCGATAAGATAGCCCAATACCTAGCGAGACGAATTCATTCGATCCCATTAGCTTTCGATATATTTAACCGAGGAATAATCACAGTATACACTTTAACAACCTCGACATATATACAAAATACATAATTTAAACCAAATTTAAAAATGTATTATATATGATCGTAAATATATTTTTATCGCTGTTGGAAGAAAAAACCAAATTAAAATTCTCTACAGCAAAAATTACCACTCACATTTTCGATTTATTATACATTTATCTTACTTATTAAATACGAATGTTTAAATTAATGGATTGATGGATAGTCTGGAAGAACACATATGCTACAAAATATGTTTTTTTTTTAAATTCCGCGCGGACGGAGTCGCGGGCGACAGCTAGTAACTTATAACTTACAGCTTTTACAATAGAAAATTAGGGTTTTTCAAAGAATATTAGTTATGACAAACCTAAACATATCCTAATCAACGTTTAACGTTAGAGAATAACTAGGCTATCTCTTTCCGTTTTGCAACTCGACACCTTTTTAGAAGTTAATTGCGACATCAGTCACCATGAGTACGTGAGACTAATATAAACATTTTATTATAGAATAAAAATTAGTAGTGTGATTATCTTACAAAAAAATATCAAATAATAAAAGTTAAAGGTGCAAGTAGACTCCATTGAACTCCCTGTTCTAAACCGTCACATGGCGAGTCGTAGACGATTGTATTGCATATTAAGATTAAAACGTTTTGATCCTTACTTTAAATATTTTATCAAGAATTAAATATTTATGACCTAGTTAACTTTAACATATTACATTGACTACAAAATTGCAGAAATAACTAAAATGTATTACTAAAACATCAAAGAAGTAAATTAAAAAATAAATCAATTATACGCAAGAAATGCTTGTTATTGAATTCGAAAATTAATATTTACATTTTACAATAAAATTTAATAATAATAAAACACAAATATTTAATTATTGTATCATATCAACAAATTAAATTATTGTTCTTGATAACAAAAATATAATGCAAAGAATAAAGTCAACAAATATCAAGAACAAGTGAGCGATACTTCAGAAATGCCATAATGTACTACAAAATTATTCCACAACTAGTACAAGGTGAAGTCACGGTTATTCCCTTGCGTTAAGGTTCGTTTTAACTTTGGCATGTATATTGACGTGTGGTGCAAACAACGATATTTTTTATATTCATTCTTTGTTCAACGTAGATAAAGGACGTTATATTTGTTATGTAAATAAATAATTTCAAATATATCTAGTACAGCGTACATTTAATTTTTAATAATATGCAGATAAATAGAATTTACTAAATAATTCACTATTTCCCATTAAAAACAAAAAAAAAATGATTTTGTTAATTAGAAGGCAATATAAATAATAACCTCGTCAAATCATTATTAAAATAAAAAAAGACATTCTCATAATCAAGAAAAAACTGCTAGTTATTTTATTCAAAAATAGCTATCGCTTATAATTTGCACCACACACCGGTCGTAATTTCACCCATGAAATAGTTGGTATTACCAAATAGGGATTAGAAAGAGACGGCGCACTGATACAACTGAGTGCGAGCGAGACAGCAAATATTCGTCCGTTGAACGACGCTCTCGATTTTTGAGGTTTGTGTAAAAAAAAATTTGTACCATTTTCATTTATGTTATAGTTAATTCATGCGACTTTGCTTTCGTGAAATTAATTAAAAATGTCTATCTGGTGATTTGGTAGTTATATGACTCAAGCCTGCAAATACATTCGCGTGGATTGAAAAAAATCTTATTATGAAACGTGTTCTTCCAGACTGTTCTATGCCATATCTTATTAACATCCACCATCCAAACTTTCGTATTTATGAATATTAAGAAGATGAAGACGTTAGCACCCTTTATCTTCGTATATGTGGGCATTTTTTGAACTAACAACCTTACCAATATAAACGCGAATGTTTATATGACTGTTTATTTGAAGGTATCTCCGGAACGGTTGCAAGACACGCTCAAATTTGTCATAGATGTAGAACATAGTCTGGAAGCGACATGCACTATTAATTAAGTTTTTTTTTAATCCTTCACGGGAGCACTCGATGTCGACAGATTATGTCATTCAGAGATATATTAACATTTAAATGGTTAAATCGTTTTTAAATCGATCCAGTAGTTTTTGAGTTGTACAACAAACATAGAAATCTTTCTTCTATATAACATTAGTATGGATATTATGTAATTCATACTATATGCTTACATAAGCATATTATATAGATATATAATGTAAAACAAAATCTCATCTCCGTATCTTAAGATAAAATATAAAGCTATTAAGGGTTTCTGAGACATAAATCTATTTATAAAACATATCGTCATCCCTGTCATTATCTTTGAAATAACAGAGATAGCAATATTTTGATGTAAAAAACCCACTGTAAATGTAATTTGGTTTTACCCGTAAATTATATTTCTATTAGTTGTCGCTCGCGACCTCAACCGTATAGAATTCAAAAGAGACTTAATTAGTAGTCTATGTGTTCTTCCAGACTATGTTCTACATCTATGTCGAATTTCAGCGAGACCTGTTCAGCTGTTCTGGAGATACATTCAAACATTCGCATTTATATTATAGTTATATTCTTTCCTAACTAAGAACAACGACAACTAGTTAATTAAATCTTATATTAAAACTAGCGGCTCCGACAGACGTTGTCCTGCCTACACGTCTTTAATTTGAAAATTTGACACTGCGATGGTAGCGCCGTCTGTCGGATCCAATGTCCATTCAAAATCAACAACTACTAATTAATTAAAAATTAATTAAAAAAACATTGTCCAGCGGACAAAATTGTGAATCTAAACCATTCCCAGATCCCCTTGAACACACACAAAAAATTTCATCAAAATCGCACCAGTCGTTTGAGAGGAGTTCAGTGACATACACATTCACAGAAGAATTATATATATAAAGATCTAATCAACCATTATAAACAGATTCTTACCTCTCCATGTTGACATCTCCCTTCAGGTGTATTCTCAGGCAGAAAATACAGCCTCAAACTGACGAGTGTCTGATCTGATACACGATCCGTCCATAACAGTTGCAATTCCCCTAAAAAAAACGTGGAATCAGTAACAGTTTTGTCCGTCATAACAAAATAGGCGAGATTTCTATTGCTCCTTTTTTTTCTAAGGGGGGATTAAAAGGCTACGTGAGTACTTCTTTTATTGGTACCCCACCTTTTTATATCATAAAGTGGCAAACGAGCTTTATCAACATGGTGTGGCAATAGTTTATTCTATTCCAACTACATTAACTCTTACCTATTGACACGAGCTCTGAATCCTGCCATATCCTGACAAAGAAGAAGTCTCCAATTGCAATTATCCTCTCCGTCTTTCCTGACAAACGGAGCGCCTTGTAGAATGTATACTGCCCATGTTGACCACAAGGTGCGCCCACCAGCTGTGAAAGAAGACAAGATACAGAATATTAGTAAGAAAAAATCTCATACGGAAAAAACAAACAAAAAAAAATTTTTTTTTTTATTTTTTTTCTTTTTTCCAAAACTAAAATGTACATACATTTTATTGAATAAACAACGGATAGGCAGACTTTATAATTACATTTTCCTGACAGATGACAAAAGATTTTACCCGTGTTTTGTGTACATGTATTCAGTATTTAAAAAAATCTTGTTACGTAGCCTATATTCCAAACTACGTTCTATGCTTACTTCAAATTTTATATTCATGAAACTTTCTGAAAATACCTTCTAACAAACCCAAATCCATCCATCCATGTAAACATTTATATTACTTAACTATCCCTCGCAACTCCATCCGCGCGAAATTAAAAAAAACTTAAATAGCAGCATTTATATTCCAGACTTTGTTCCACATCTAAGCCGAATTTCATCAAGATCCGTTGACCAGTTCTACTACATTCAAACATGCATCTAAACATTCGCATTTATATTATTAGTATAGGAGCGTCGGTGGCTCAGTGGTCAAGCACTTGACTTGCAATCTGCAGGTCTTGGGTTCGAATCCCGCTATAAACCAATGTGTTTTTCCATTTCCGATTTACATATGTACATTTATCCGACGTTACGGTGAAGGAAAACATCGTGATGCTGCACATATCTGAGAAGAAATTCAAAGATATGTGCGAAGTCATTGCACTTGGTCAGCGTGCGACGTATAGCGAGCTGATGATGATGATAGGACTAAGATGTATTTATTAAATTTTTAATTCAGCATTTTATATACCCAAAGCTACGATGTCTTGTTTATACATAACACATGATCATCAACCCGCCCTTATCCCTATCGAGGGTCGGCACAGTATGTACTCCTCCATACATATCTATCAGCCGTCATATCCGAATCTAACCCCTTCCTACGCATATCCTCTTTAACACAGACTTTCCATACTTTTTGTTAATCTATATAAAAGAAAGTGGTGTTAGTTACACTATTAATAACTCAAGAACGGCTTTACCGATATGCCTGAAAATTGGTGAAGAGGTAGCTTAGAGCCAGGAGACGGACATAGGATTTCGAATTTATGCCTTAAACAGCTGCTTTTTATTTAACTTACTAATATTATAAATGCGAATTTTTAGATGGATGTTATGTAGATTAAGTTTTTTATATATATCCATGCGGACGGAGTCGCGTGCGACAGCTAGTACGTAATAAAATAACGTACCAACATAACTTATCAAATCTCAATCCATTAGTTACCATGTTTTTAATTATTTATAGTTTTTACGTTGGCCGTACTGTCGTGTGGGAAATCGATAACTTATAAAATTGAAACCGTGAACCCTCGTATACGTGGTAGAGCGAGACAAAACATATGTCATTTACACGATACGGGTACGACACGATTTTATAAGGAATATTATTTTATACTATCCCGTGCTTGCGACTCCGTCCGCGCGGAGTAAAATAACACATAATTAGTAGTAGTATGTGTTCTTCCAGACTATGTTCTATATGCATGTCAAATTCCATCAAGATCTATGCAGCCATTCTGGAGATATCTTCTAACATCCATCCATCTAAACATTCGCATTTATAAGTAAGACAATATTTGTCCGCGACTTCATCCTCGTGACTGTCTTCGGGTGGCATTTTATTTAGGCAATTTTTTTACTTAAACTTTTAAACACTAGCTGTATCCCGCAACTCCGTCTGCGCGTATTTAATAACATAATTAGTAGCCTATATGTTCTTCCAGACTATGTACTGTGTTCAAAATTTCATCGAGATCCGATACATTCAAACATCCATCCATCCAAACATTCGCATTTATAATATTAGTAAGAAGTAAGATTTCAACAAAATATTCACAGAAACCTTACACATTAATACAAACTTTCATCCCCTATTCAGTATTGTTATTTTGCACCCTTGAGGGTAAAACTTTTACAAACTTTGAATTTCATATTTATATAAAATTAACAGCCTTTAAAAATAAGTTTCAAGCTTCTACTAAAATAACAATATTTCTATACAAATTTCTACCCCTATTTTCAACCTCGTAGCCTATGTCCTTAATCAGATTCTAGACTATCTGTGTACGAAATTTCTTTTAAATCGGTTCAGTAGATTTTGCGTGAAAGCGAGACATAAAGAGTTACTTTGGCATTTATAATATTAAGTTAGGATACTACTGCCTTAAAAATAAGTTTCAAGCTTCTAACTGTAAAAAATACAATAAAAATCTATCCATATTTCCACCCCACTATCATCCCCTTTAAATTTCTGAAAGCCTTTGGTTGAAAACATTATGTTGGCTAGTCATCTTTATATATATAATTCTTCTGTGAGTGTGTATGTCACTGAACTTCTCTCAAACGACTGGAGCGATTTTGATGAATTTTTTTGTGTGTGTTCAAGGGGATCTGGGAATGGTTTAGATTTACAATTTTGTCCGCTGGACAATGTTTTTTTAATTAATTTTTAATTTATTAGTATTTGTTGATTTTGGAATGTTTTACATTGGATCCGACAAACGGCGCTACCATCGCAGTGTCAAATTTTCAAATTAAAGACGTGTAGACAGGACAACGTCTGTCGGATCCGCTAGTATATATATATATATAAAAGAAAGTGGTGTTAGTTACACTATTTATAACTCAAGAACGGCTTTACAGATATGCCTGAAAATTAGTGAGGAGGTAGCTTAGAGCCAGGAGACGGACATAGGATACTATTGAATTGGATGTGTTGAATTGGTCATTATAGGATACCTGTCGAGCGCGACTCCGTCCGCTTGGATATATAAAAAAACTTAATTAGTGTAGCCTATGTGTTCTTTCAGACTATGTTCTATACGTATGTTAAATTTAATCGAGATCCGTTCTAGAGATATCTTCAAACATCCATCCATCCACATCACATCCATCTAAACATTTGCATTTATAATATTAGTAAGTTAAATAAAAAGCAGCTTTTCAAGGCATAAATTCGAAAAAAATGAATAAATAGTATCCTATGTCCGTCTCCTGGCTCTAAGCTACCTCCTCAACAATTTTCAGGCATATCAGTAAAGTCGTTCTTGAGTTATAAATAGTGTAACTAACACGACTATCTTTTTTATATATATAGATAGATTATTAAGCGAAAGAGTTTGTTTAAACGCGTTAATCTCAGGAACTACTGGTCCGATTTGAAAAATTATTTTTTTATTGAATAGTCCATTTATAGAGGAAGGCTTTAGGCTATATAACATTACGCTGCGACCAATAGGAGGGATGCTTCAGTAAGAAATGTTACAAAAACGGGGAAAATTATTCACATTTGAAGAGTTTCGTTGCGTGCGCTTCATAAACGGTTTAAATTACTCAAAAAGTATGTATGAATTATTCCTTTTTAAGATATGTGTGAAGTCACTGCACTTGGTCAGCGTGGTTGACTATGACCTAATCACCCTTAACTTAGGGAAGGCTCCGAGCCCCTCAGTGGGGACGTATAGTGAGCTGATGATGATGATTCCTTTTTATAGAACATAGTCTGGAAGAACACATAGGCTACTAATTATATTTTTTTAAACTCCGCACGGACTGAAACGCAGTCGACAGCTAATATTATAAATATGGATGGATGGATCTCGCTGAAATTTAACATAGATGTAGAACATAGTCTGGAAGAACACATAGGTGGAGTCGCGTACGGCTGATTGTCAATAAAGTCGACAGAGATAAAATATATAACCTAACCATTATGTTCAAATAATATAAGACTAAAGGAGTTAGAACCTTTGTCATCTATTGTACATAAGGGAATACTAAAAACAATAACATTGTCAACACTTAAGTACATACCTCGATTCTTGACACGTCATTAACAGGATTTAACAATCTTGATCCTTTAATTATTCTTAATTATATTATAAATGCGAATGTTTAGATGTCGTTGAAGTTTGACATAGATATAGTAAGTCCTGGATGAACGCATAGGCTACTAATTAAGTTAATTAAGAGGACAACAGTTATTTGTATATATAAAAATCAATTGGTGTTCGTTAGTCTGTCTAAAACTAGAGAACGGCTGAACGGTTTTTTTTATATAACATAAGGGGGCAAACTAGTAGCGGGAACACCGAGGTGTTCAACGACGCCCATGGACATCAGCAATTATCTTATCTTGTCCATGAAATGTACGACCTTCAGTAATGAAGAATACGAAGAAGTCCTTAAAATGTTCATGGAGGTCTATGGAAGGTTTAAAAGGTGAGAAAAATTCGAATAATAGCCAGTAAAACCCTAAAAACAGATCTTTTGTTTTTCCCATATTAAAAGCTGAATGGATCTCGCTGAAACTTGGCATAGATGTAGAACGTAGTGTGGAAGAACACATAAGCTACCAATTGAGTTTTTATTTTGCACAGACGGAGAAACAAAATTAATCGATATTTGCTTATTTTCGTTTCAGTACAAATAACTATAAAGAAGATTTAAAATCTTATATATAAAATTCTCGTGTCACAATTTGTCGTTCCCATACTCCTCCGAAACGGCTTGACCGATTCTCATGATATTGTGAGCATATTGAGTAGGTCTAAGAATCGGCTACTATCTATTATTCATCCCCCTAAATGTTAAGGGTAGTCCACCCGTAAATTTTATTTTTAATACAAACAGACAGATGAAGTCGCGGGCGACAGCTAGTATATTTATATAATATTCGCCTCTTCCTCATACAACTAAACATACAAACTCAACAATTTCGTGTGCTCGTTTATGACTTATCATATATTTATTTCCCCGCAACAATAATATACAAGTATCAAGATTATTCGTCTTAAGTCGCGGACGCGGTCAGACGTCATCGTCCACATATAGACTGTCCGTGCGGTCGCCGAGAGATTATTAGGGATCCTTGACTTATAAACCATAATTAGTAATCATTGCTTTTAATATAAATATTTAATGATATTAAGAGTGTTCACGTAATGAATTCGATTGTTAAAATATGCCAGAATTATTCACAACTTGTAATAAAAAAAAATAGTTTAAAGTGGAAAGTGACAATTGATTCGTTCTATTGTTAAAAAAAATCGAAATTAATATAATAATTAAATTATAGTTAAATCAGCAAAGATTATTGTATTTCACATACCTCTATCATTTTAACCAACTATTATCTGTTACTAGTAGCCTATGTGTTCTTCCAGACTGTGTACTACATATATGCCAAATTTCAAAGAGATCTATACAGCTGTTCTGGATATACCTTCAAACAAACATCCATAGAGTCTATATGTTGAGATATAAATTCGTATTTATTTTATATACAGTTTTAATAACATACAGAACCCATTAAGTAATTATTCTTTCGTGCTTGTCTTTCCTTTTAATATTATTATTAGACAAGGCTAGCTATGCCCTCGTTGGGCCTGTACACCGTTCACACAGCTTTAGTGGATTGTTTCAACTATGTGGCTAGGGTTGTCAACATTTAATTAATTTAGACTCGAAAAAAAAACACAATAACTACCACATCTAACATTCTGTTGTAAAAACAGTCATCATCAACCTGCCCTTATCCCTATCGAGAGTCGGCACAGCATGTACTACTCCTCCATACATCTCAATCAGCCGTCATATCCGAGTCTACCCCCTTCTTACGCATATCCTCTTTCACACAGTCATTTCATACTTTTTTTGGTCTTCCTCTACCCTTGTAGCCATCCACATTCAATCTAATTACTTTTTTTCTTATATCATCATCATCCCTTCGCATAACATGTCCAAACCACGCTAATCTTTTACTTCTCAATTTCTCGATCACCGGCGCTACTTTCAAACTTCCTAATGTACACATTTGTGTAAAAACAGTACGAACCCGAAGTGAGACAGCCCTAGTATTTATTTAAATACTAACTGTCGCCCTCGACTCCGTCCGCGCGATAATAAAAACAAAATTATTAGCCTATGTGTTCTTCCAGACTATGTTCTATATGTATGTCAAATTTCATCGAGATCCGATCAGCAGTTTTGGAGATAATCAAACATCCATTCATCTTAACATTCGCATTTATAATATTAGTAAGATAAGATGTCAATTCCATTGTGACCTAAGAGCCTAGCACGAATATAAGTGAGAGCACATTTTGTTGATGTCATCACGAATACATTCTAGCAACTGTCATGCAAATATTCGTAATACACCGTATACCCGATTTTCACAACTAAACATACAGTTGTTATTATTTCTTTATTTAACAAATATTATTATAATAGTTGTGTACTATTCCTTTTAGTGTCAAATTTATTAAAAGGCACGTAGATATTATGACAAAGCCAATGCGGTGACAACCCTAGTGACGTAGCGGTGCGGGGTCTGTAGTGAGCGGGGGGAACCGGTGTCACAATATCCGGATATTTCCGGATTTTTGTGGATTTCTAATGAGTTTCACTTTTTTTTTATAATTTATTACCTGCTTTTTTCTACAAATACTAAATATTAATCATAGCAATAATAACTAAATATTATTATGTGAAGATTACGATTTAGTAATTACTAGCTGTCGCCCGCGACGTCGTCCGCGCGAAATTAATAACAAACGTAATAAGTAGCCTATGTGTTCTTCCAGACTGTGTTCTACATCTACGCCAAAACCTTAGCCACCAAGCCAAGAACCAAGCCTTAAAACAAACATCCATCCATCTAAACATTCGCTATATATAATATTAATAAGATTGTTAAGAGAAATTGATTGCATTAAATAAGGCTCCAGTACTACTAAATTAAATTGATAAATTCTTACATTGGTTACATAGGCTATTATTATTTGATTATTTACTAATTCCCCGCGGACAAAGTCGGGAGCGGGTACAATATTAAATTAGGAGCAACAGCATTGTTTACCTAGGTCCTATAACCTATATCAATATGTTTTTATTATTACGTTTTTTTATCGTAAAAACAATCGGTAACTTATCTCTACAAGTGCACAGGTGAGAGGGGGGACTGCTTAAAGGGGAGTGTATAAAGGTGAGGGGAGAGGGGGAGGAATACAAAGTAATCTCGATTCTTCTATACAATGACGCGTCAAATTCCGTTGCCAAATATTTGACACCGATCAATAATAATTAAACCTAACCTTCCATCCGGGCGGAATTAAAAAAAAAACTTAATTACTAGATTATATGTTCATCATGACTATGTTCTACATCTATGTCAAATTTCATCGAGATCCATGCAGCCGTTCTTAAGATACCTACTAACAAACATCCATCCATCTAAACATTCCCATTTATAATATTAGTAAGATTAGCTGTCACCCGCGACTTAGTCAGGGCGGAATTACAAAAAAAAACGTAATTAGTAGCCTATGTGTTCTTCCAGACTATGTTCTATATGTATGCCAAATTTCATCAAGATCCACTGACCCGGTAGATCCACTACATCTAAACATTCGCATTTATAATATTAGTAAGATTTAAGAATTCAAATACATAAATTATAAATTAATGGGTACACAATTAACTAGACGTAGTAATAAAGCAAATATGCACAAATGTGCATTGTCAGTCAAATTAACGTCCGAACGAAACTCGTAGACGGTACGTGAAAAAAAAATGGTATAACCAATTTCAAAACGTACGAATGCCAGCAAAGTGGCTAGTGATGGGCATCGATAGAGATTATCGATAGAAAATAAACTCTGTTTATCTTACTAATATTATAAATGCGAATGTTTAGGTTGATGTTTGTTTGAAGATATCTGCAAAACAGATCAAAGGATCTTGATGAAATTTGGCACAGGTTTAAACCATAGTTTGGAAGAACACATAGCCTACTAATATATATTTTTTTCGTTCCGCGCGCACGGAGTCGCGGACAATAGCTAGTTAGGAATAATAAAACAAGCGCTTACTTGTCATTGTGATCATTATCGTTAAAAAAATAAGGTTAAAAAACAAAGTCGACTTTCATTTGAATGTAGTAAAGATAAAAAAATTAATTACAAACAAGTTTAAGGTATGTTTACTCTAAAATTGATATCTACGTAAACATTAGCCACGAATGTGTAATTGGTACAAAAAAAAATACCAAAGCTCTTTGCAACGTTAAAATTTTTATAAACATTTAAATTTGTTAACCGGTTTCTACTAAAGCCTTAAAAACGATAAAAAACCGGTATTCAATAGAAACATTTAAAGTTAATTATTATGGAAATTAAATTTACTTAAATGTCATAAACATCTTTTTTTATATTTAGGCCGCATTAAAACTGAACTAAAACAATAAAAATAATTTCAAATTCTCACAATTAGTAAACATATTAATTTATATAATAAAAACATCGCATAAATTATCGATAAGAATCATGGTCACTTCACTAGTTAAAAGGTCGATAAGATCAAACAAGGGACGTTTCCCATCACTAGCTGATATGGCGCACAGCGGGTTTAAATCGGTAATTTTTCTTTTAATAACGTAACCACGCGGTAATATTATTCTATACATTATCGATTATTATTTAAACCATAATTAAACATTAAAATGATTTAAAAACAATTATAATTCCGTTTAATCTTTACAAATAACAATTGATGACGTCATCTTCTCGTAAACATATTAAAATTATTATAATTTATCATCATTGAAATAGGAAACTGGATATCTTGTTCTAATTCTATATTTAGTTTATTTTTAATTTCTAATTAATAACATAATTATAAATCTACTGAAATGCATGTTAATTATAATTTACCTTATATGACGGCTTCTCCATATTAAAATGTAATCCAAAAGACAAAGAAATATCCACGTACACACTTCACAAAACCACAAATCGCTTACATTACCAACGATGTATTTGTTAAATATTTTTAACTCATTCTTACTTCATGTTTCAGCAAAGCCATTGCACTAATTATATTCCACCGCGGTACAGAAAATTTATTTTTTACAATGTTTTATTTTTAGACGCTCATATCACTTATGTTAATTTAAATTATAAAATTATATTTATAACGAATTATATCTAAATCGATCACTAATCACAACAACAATAAATTATTTTTAAATTCACATAAAATTATAAACGAAATAACACTGGCCTGGCCACAAGCACAATTACCACAGAATATAAACACGACGTAATGTAATTGAGAATAAATATTTTTTTAAAAAAACACAACGCTGTTTCGTAACCGTCGAAGTATTCTACCGTGTTATTGAAAGATTTCGAATAAGTGAAATTACTAAAGTGAAATGATTATTGAACACAATAAAACAATATGGCGTACATTTGACGAAAATAAGTCAAAACACGCGCGCGGGGAGCGTTCTCTTTGACAGGAACACTGCCATCTCTGAATACGGTTGCCCCGCGTCTGTGTGCTCAATGCTTCTTACCCGCTCACACACAGCTTAGGGCTGTCCTTCATGTATTTCATTATAATAAATTTATTTTTAATTTTCATAATTTTTTTTTAAATATTTAATTTGTTTGTCTTAACAGTTAAAATTAGAATTATCTTATTATGTTATTTTGTCGTAATAAAATAAAAATACCTACTACAAGTCGCAAGTATCTATAAAGTTAATAGAGACACATCAATGTCTAGGTTATTTTAAAAAGGACATTTATATCGTTAGAATATTTAAATATCAAATAAAAAACTGGTAGCGCGTGTAGTTATGAATACCTAACTCTCTTGAATACAAGTAAATTATCAAAAAATTCTCATGAAATCAGACTGGTACACTATAGTTCCGTAACTGAATTTAAATTAAACGATTAACATTGAACCAAAAATAAATTATGACAAATCGAAAAAAATAATTTAAACCAACAGGTTTATTGTAACAACAAAAACATTAAAAGAAAAGACGTTGAATATGAAAAAAAAATAAAATAAATAAATTTTTAAAACGAAAAAAATAATTAAATTGAATAAGTCGGAGTTGACGACCCTGAAGCGACGATCGTTCGCGTCGTACGTATTTATACATTTGTGATATTTATTTTAAATACCTATAATGATTGGCATGATACAAAAGAAACGAATACCGTTCAAACGATGTTGTAATTAACTAATCATTGATGTTTATTATTAATATTACGTATCCATTTCAATTTAATATTTCGTCTATAAATGTCATCACCCAATAACTGGCTGATGACATGATTAAGAACATAACTGGACTTAAAAATAAAACCTTAACCTCTATGGTCAAAAATAAAACAAAAAAGTTTTATTACCTATTGTCGGTTACGTAATATGTTTAAATTCTTTTAAATAATACGTAATTGTTATAAGATTTAAAAATGGTAACATTAAAGAAACATATTGAATTAAACAAACGCATCCGGAACCCACGCTTCGTAAAACTGAACGCGCCGAACCAGTGCATTATCTTGAAATTTTGCTTATACTGTGACCTCAAATGTTTTAGTTAATTTATTTTTAGCAGCACTAGATTTCCACAAAAAGCGTTCAGAGTTAGTGTTACCATATTTATTTTAATTTGCCATCTTTTTGAATAATTTATTAAATTAATTATATTACTACTAATTAAACATAGTGACGCAAAAGGTAACAAATATATTTGGTCTTTAATTCGTTCTATTATTGAAAACAAAATGTTATTAGTTATTTATTTCTGAAAATATCTTTATATCTTATAATTTTGCTCTTTTTATTATAATACCATTTGATTGTTTAGTAATTTTTTTTAAATTCGCCCCGAGTCGAGTCTCGAAATAAATTTCAGAAACCATGGTCAACGTACTTCAAGCGATACCTACTAGATGTTAATATTCGAAGCGTGGTTGGAACAAATAAGGTTATTTTAATAGAAGTCGAATCACTTGAGATTGAGAAAAAATTACGACGATTTATTAATAAGATTTATAAATACATTTTTCTACTTTAAATAATAAAAATGAATAATCAACTAAAATATTTATATGTAGTAAAATTTGAGGTTATAAAATTGTTACTTACTAGGTATTAAATGTTACTTACTCTTTGAAAATTAAACGAAGTGCGTAAATTCCAAATAAGATATGACCTAAACGTCTATGTTACCAGGTCATGAAATTAAAAAAAAAATGTGCGTAAGCAATACCAGATTTAAAAAAAAACTCCGTTCCGTGTTCGAAGTTTGAATTAATTCGGAATAACCAATCGTTTGCAGGTTCACTCGCGCCATTTTTGTACACTGGAGGGAACGAAATTTTTATTCAACGTTTTGTTTGTGCTTTTAAAACATTCAACTGTTATTTCTAATTCACGTGAAATTATCTTTAAAATGCAACAAAGGTGTAATTGTAAGAAATTTATTTTATATTAATTACGTAATTTTTCATAGAATTAATTTTTAATTGTTAATAACTAGAAGGTTTACTATTCTTGATAATAAAGTTAAATAGAATTAAAGTTATTTCTCAGTGTACTATTACTATTTTTATTACTAGATTTAAATTTAAAACATTTAAAATTATTTATAGTAAAATCACCCCATGTGAATCGGGTATACGCACACATACAAAATGTGTTCGTTTTTCAAATAATCCAAACATAAGGACAATTTAAATTCAACTTTATTGGACAGACATAAGGTTGATTTTAATTTGAATCGTACATTTATTATTACTTGTGTTCAAATAGTATACGTTCATAGACATAACGTTTGCATGAAAAATAGGGTAACTCTGATTTTTTACAAAAAAAAAAAGATTCGTAAGTCTAACAAAAAATTGTTTTGTTTGTTAGAAAAATTGTACGGACATCGATCCTTGAGTTGTTTTGCTTCAGATTGAATAATTTAGTATAATTCAGGCGGGACAATATTTTAATATACATATCTTAGGATTAGTCAATGAATACTTTCAAAATTTTTTTTGAAACAATACATTTTAAAATACAGAAATTACTAATTTTATTAATATTATAAATGCAAATGTTTAGATGGATGTCTGTTTGACGTTATCTACGGAACGGTTAAACGGATTTTAATTAAATTTGGCATACATATAGTACATAGTCTGGAAGAACACATAGGCATAATATGTTTTTTTCCGGACGAACGGAATGTTCTGTACGGACGGTGTTGATGGTTACAGATAGTACAGAATAAATATAGAAATTGTAAACTCAACAATTACGTTAAAACGAGTTTCCTAAACATATACATATTTCTAGAAATATATTCTTTTGTATACAAATTCCAAAATATAAGTAATTAGTTAGTTCAAGAACTTTGTAACACGAGAAAAACACCATAAGTATATTTTTTGTGATTTATTTTCTAGCAGACAAAAAAAAATCAATCCTTAGGGCGATTACTCAAATATCAACACAACATTGATAAGGCGAAAAAAAAGTACGAAATACGATAAACATAATAGATAAAGATAGTTGTTTTGATAAAGATATCAGAATTTATCGCATGGTATAAATGTCAATTATAATACGTACGGTTCAACCTTCTCTCTCTTTTTAGCCATATGTCGCCCACTGCTAGGCAAAGACCTCTGCCAAAGATCGTCAAGATGATCGATCCTGTGCTACTCTCATCTAGGATACTCCTGGAACCTTGACCGGCCCATCTTACGTGAGGCCTACGCTACGTCGATCTGTCCGTGGTCGTCATTCCAGGATTTTTCGCCATCATCGGACGACTAGAGTGACAGTAATATATTGTTGTCTCTTTTTTATTGAAGCGAATGAAAAGGATGACAAAATGTGATACAAGAGTCAGCAATGTTCCATGAAATGTGACGCGATGTGAACGCAGCCTAAACGGCAATACCAACCAAATGGATACGAGGTGAGACAAACACACGGTGTGTTTTTTTAAATATAAAATTGAATTTAAATTATGTAAGTACAATTTAATTCTTTATATTTAAATTAATTATTTGTATTATGTCATACTTTGTATGACATTTTGTTTTTTTTTATATTCATAAGTTTTATTAATATGAGTACGTTGTATTATTTTCCGGCAACGCATCTGCTGTTCCTCTGGTATTGCTTATGTCCATGGGCGTCGTTGAACACCTCGGTGTTCCCGCTGATCGTTTGCCCCCTTCTGTTATAAAAAAAATATATATCTTTCTTTCTTTCAAAATACCCAAACTGAATATAAGTACATAATATCTTATTTATTTAGAACTTTGTCGGTTTAAAAAAACTACTAATATACAAATGCAATTGTTTAGAATACTAAAGAGGAATTTTAAATTTTTAAACACAAAATAATCTTTAATATAAAAAATAAGGTAGTGTGAACGTCCTGACCCGAGCACCACTCGCTCCGTCCAAATGAATATAGCGGCCCCGATCACACGGCATCATTATTTATTATTGTATTGTTATTATTATTATTACTCTATTTAATCAAAACAACATTTGATTAAAAGTTAAATTATTCATTTGTTTATTTTTCGGATACACTCGTAAATTTACTATACCTTTTTTAATTTTTTTTTTCGCCTTTAAAAAGAATTTTTTTATTAACAAGAACTTATAAATTATTACAAAACAAACTAAAGATTTAAATCTTAATTATAAGATTTCATACAATACATACAAATAATTAAAACTTTAGGTTGCATAGACAGTTTATAAACTGACGAACTTACAATTTAAAGCAACATATACGTATTTAAGTAAATAAAGGATGTAATTGTTGCAAAATTCTAACGTATTTAAGTTTTTCTTATACTTAACGTCCGTCGACTTTAAGGTCATTCAACTTATGTTTTCTAATTGTTATTATTTTATCTATTATACATTTATAATTAAACATGCTGTATTTTATTTATGACAATGATGGCTTCCAGACTATTTTCTACATCTATGCTAAATTTCAGCGAAATCCATACAGCCGTTCCGGAGATACCTTCTAACAAACATCCATGCATCTAAATTTTCACATTTAAAATAAGACTAGCTGTCGACGGTGACTTGCGCACGAAATTAAACAAAAAACTTAATTAGTAGCCTATGTGTTCTACTAGACTATGTTCTAATACTATATCTTTTAACAAACATACATATAAACATTCGCATTTATAATATTAGTAATTCGTAAAACATGCCATTTAGTTCGCACGGTATTAAAAATAATAAATTTTTAACTTCTACACTGTTCCGTTTGCTCATTCTTGATTCATGGTAATAAACATACATATAAACTTTCCGAATGAAATTAGTATTATATTATTTTTAGTTAATTGATATTTAATTGTAATTAATCATTAAAAGTTTGAAGGAAGTTTATAAAAACACAGGAGCAAACACACAACGCCTTTTAGAGCATAATCGGTTTAAAAGAGGGCACATAAAAGAGAATTCACTAAAATATA